CTCTTATTCAACATAGTACTGAAAGTCCTAGCCATAGCAATCAAACAAAAAGAAATAAAAGGCATACAAACTGTAAAAAAAAAAAAAAAAAAAAAATGTTATTGAGCTGGATGGAAAAGAAGATTCAGAGAGAAAGGAGTGTAGCTGTTGCTACTGAGTTAGTGACAAGGAACCTGGACCATGTGGAGCAGAAAAGAAAAGAGAAAACCTTATTACGAGGGATCAGTGATCAGCATGAGGGGCTGCAACATGAAGGGAATCTGTTACCTTTCTTCAAGGGTATACGGAGACACCATTAGAACAGTAATAAAATAGCAACAGCTTGAGGTTAATGGGTAGGTGGTGGCCAAAGGCAATTTCATGGAGTCCTCAAATGCCCAGTCTAAGCTAGGGGCAACTGCCCATAAACCCACAAGGACTTGCTACATGCCAAGAGAAGGCAAGGTAACAGGTGCTGACTGAGAACCAGTGACTCCCCCTGCTTATCTTTTGGCAGGGTCAACTTCTCTGATAAGGAGGCCATCCAGGAGGAAGGGGTGAGGAGAGAGACCCTGGGAGGACTGGGCAATCACTGTTTTTGGTATACCTGGTAGGGACTAGATTAATTTTGTTAATATCCAGGGGAAATGGAACCTTGAGAAAGAAGATCAGTCCATTCACAGAAGAAAATTTAAAGTTGCTTATGTTTGTGATTATGAAAGTTGCACAACCACAAAGCACTCTGACTTTCTAGAGGACATAAGGAATATTAAAAGGGCACTGGGCCAGCATTCAGGGATTTGGATTCCGGTGCTATTTGTATCACTGGTTTATAGGGTACAAGACAGTTTAGCACTTCGGGTTTTGGTTTCTTCATCAGTCAAGCAAGAGGTTTGGATTAAACAATTCATAAAGTTTCCTTCAGCTCTAACATTTTTAAACTGCCAATGGAAGAAACAAGAATGTTTTTTAACAGTCTCACAGCTCAGAGCTTGGAATCCTTGGATCTGCTGGTCTACCAGGAATCAAGAGAATTTTGTTATCTGGCTATTTGAGTGTGATGATAAGTCAATGGCTATGCAAGGAAGAGATGGGACCATGTTGAATTCATGGAGTTATTAAGCATCCTACCTCACGGAGAGAGAGTACAGCCCGGTCCTTTCATTGCTGTCCCTCAGAAGGTAGCTACCATCACATCCGTTTGAGAGGAGAAGAGCTTCTGCTGCGTGGCGACTGAGGTTGCTGTGATACCACCTAGGAAGGAGAGAACCATGCTTTCACTCAGGGCAAACCACAGGTTGACTCTTCTTTCACTGGCTTTGCCTCTCAAAGATCACCTCAGCAATATTCCCCACATGGGTAGCCAAGAGACCAAGCTCTCAGCTAAAACACCAGGACAAGGAAATCCCTGGGCGTAACTAAATGGGAAGGAGGGGGCAGAGAAAGTTGGTTACTAGCCAAGTGTTATGGGTTGAATTGTGTTCTGAAAATTCATATGTTGAAGACCTAACCCCCAAAATCTCAGAATTTGAGCTTATTTGGAGATAGGATCTTTAGCAAGTTACAAGGTCATTAGCATGGGCCCTAATCAGTATGACTGGTGTTCTCTTGTAAAAACGGGACATTTGGAGACAGATTTGCAAATAGGGAGGGTGTGATACGAATGTGAAGATGGCCATCTACAAGTCAAGGAGGAAGGCCTGGGACAGATCCCTTTCTCACAACTCTCAGAAGGAACCAACCCCATTGACACCTTGATTTCGGGCTTCTACCTTCCGGAACTGTAAGACAAAAAAATTTCTTCTGTTTAAGCCACCCATTTTGTGGTACTTTGGCATGGTAGCCCTAGCAGACACACAAAATTACTTTGTAAACAGGAAATTTTTTAAAAGCCCAAGTCAAAGCTAACTGTAAGAATAGGCTTTGGCTAATTTTCTTTCTTTCGTTTGTTTTCTCTCTCACAGTCTTTCTTGCAAGTGTGGTAGTGCCTTTTGCAGTGCAGAAAACCACTGAGCTATTATACCAGAGTAAAATGAAGTTGAGTACAAGGAATTCAGATGTTTTATACAAGATGCAAGCCCCATCAAACACTGTTTCAAACTGACAAATATCTGAAGAGCTGGGAAAGTCCCAAGGAGATTCAAATTGATCTAAGGGTTAAATAAAAAAATAAATAAAAAAATAAAAAAATAAAGGTTGTTTTAGAAAAGTTAACATATATCCATGGTTGAAGAAAAAATTCCAAATACTTTTCACAAGAAGACAGTAAAAATAAAGCTCTTTTCCTCACCCTTAATCCTCAGTTCCCCTATTCCTTTCCCTAGAGGACACCAGTGCTAACCACTGTCCTGTGTTTTCTCCTAAGAGATTATCCTCTGCATCTAGAGCAGCGATCTTCAACCAGCATGCACGAGAATTTTTAAAACATGCAGTGCACTGACATCTTTTCCCTTAGATTGTCAAATAAAAAAATGACAGCAGCCAACACAACAATAGCCATCTGGTGTGAATGCCCAGTCTTAAACCATAAATATATAGGTCATATAATAGAGTTATATTTTATTGGTCACATTGCATAATAAGGTTGCATCTAATTGGCTAACTCTTAGTAGCAGAAATCCTTATATACAAGTATCGGCACCTGATCTTTTAAAAAGTCACTTGGAACAAAAAAAGCAGGCAATTACTGATTTTTTGTTTGTTTGTTTTTTGCATATCAATCAAAATTATACCTATTTTTTGGGTCTGATCTGCAAAAAATATATTTTTTGATGCGCCACAGAATTTCAGTTATTAGTTCATGTATGCCATGAGATGAAAAAAGTTGAAAATTGTTGATCTAGAGGCATTCAAATATGCCCCCCCTCCTAATCCTATGGAAACAGAGCATTCTAGGTGGACTCTTCTGTACCTTGCTCTTATTCCCTTACTGACTTGGTGGAGGCAGCCCAGGGTTGTGCACAGCACTGTGGCTTCTGGAGTTGGTTTGCCTGAGTCCCTACCCAGGAGATAATGCTTACTAGCTGTACAAGTTACATAACCAATCTGAGCCTCAGTTTTCTCACCTCTAAAATAGGACTAATAATAGTCATATCTCATGGGTCATTTGTGAGTACTGTTGACATTAACACACATGAAATGGTCAAAACAGCCCTGGCAGAGAGCAGAACTTAGTACACATCAGTTGTTAGCATGAAGCCATTGAGACCCACAAAGGCATAACTTGTGATGTATCTGTGGTGTGATTTTCTTGTTGCTCAAATATAATCTTTTATTACTTTCAATTTATTTCAGATAACAGAAAACTAGGTACCAGGGACAGTTGCTACTGCAAGGGACCTGCAGTCCAGGACAGTGGAGAGGAAGTGGAAAGGCAATGACGCAAATAATGTCAACAATGTCAGTAAATGAAGTACTGTCAAGGAGATGTGTATAGTGTACAAGAATTTCAAGGAAGAGACCGACTCTGGGTGTGAGCGATCTTGCTGTCTTGAGCTACACTGGCGTCCACTGTGACATCCCTATGGCCTGAAATGTTAGCCTGATAAAAAAAAAAAAACTAAAAGTAAGACTGTGGAAGGAAGTTTCTACATAGGTATCCAAGCTATTTTCTAAATATGCATTTCCTAATGTGTGTTTCTTTAGCATATTTCCTCTTTGGGGCAGAGATGCCTCTATCCTGTAGTAGAAATGTATTTGCTAGCTGAAAGCAATTACAAGGAAAACATTTTATAAGAAAACCCATCGAGTTATTTACCCACAAAACAGCCTCATTCATTGAACTGATTCACAGACAAGTTGAAATCTTCTCACTACAAAATACTTTCAAAGGACAATTGGAACCTAAAACTAATATAATGTTATATTTCAATTAAAAAAAAGACAGCGGGAAATGAATTAAAAGTGAAGCTATAAAAATATTTTAGGTTTGGCTACAGCCCAAACTCGAATCTCCATAAGTTTACAAATTCTTAAATACCTTTAGCCAATAATTAATTTTTGGATGAATATTTCAGGATAAGATTTAGCTTGAGCCAGTATATCACATATTTGAAGCAACAAAATTTGATCAACAAAATTCTAAAATGTAAAGGATTTGGATGTTCTTTTGGATGTTTTTCAGTGAGATCTGAAGTCTGTGTTCAAAGCATTTACACAATTCTTCTGATGATTACAACTTGAGGACAGTTTTTGCTAAGAAATTTTTATGGTAATCTTTTAAACAATAATTATATATCATAAATACTTGACTATAAAGCAAGAAGAATCATACTATACTCTAATTCAGAACAACTTGGTGAACATGAATTTCTGGGTGGCATCTTGCTGAGTCCATCTTGACGTTTCTTGGATTTTATGGAGTCCTGGACCTGGGCAAACTTAAGACAGAGCCTGACAGATAGACACCTACTTCCACTTCATGACATCTATGGGGCAATGAGGATCCTCTTTCCCAAAATAGCTCTTCCATGAATACCTAAGTTTCCTCTTTTAATTGAGTTAAGCATTTCTTTCCCAGAAACTTAGGATGAGCATATCTTCCAAGGAAGTAACTACAGGTCCAAATAGCATCACATATCTTTTGTAGGAATATGTCTACTTGTGTCCATGAAGAACTAAAGGTTGAAAATATAGTAAAGTGAAGTTGGTGGTTTCCTCATAATCAACCTTCTCTACCTTCTCTCCATCAGCTTTATAAATATTTATTAAGCTTCAAATCTGTACAAAGCACTGTGTAAGGCAGAGTATTGGGCAGGTCAAAAGGACAAAAATGGAAAAGCCTTAGGCTGGGTTTCAAGAAACCATTAATCAAGACAGGAGGGCCAGACAAATACTTGTTGGGTGTATATTAGAGAGTGAAGCACCCAACAAAGGTTTCAGGAAGAAAAATCAAGACCATTCTCTAAATGAGCCAATGTCAAATAGGCTTGAAGGACACTTAAGTTATTTTCTAAAGTGTGTATAATTTGCTCGGCCGGCGTGGCTCAGCCTTTGAGCATCGACCTATGATCCTAGAGATGGTGGTTCATTTCTGGTCAGGACACATGCCAGGGTTGTGGACTCAATCCTCAGCAGGGCCGTGCAGGAGGCAGCTGATTAATGACTCATCATTGATGTTTCCATCTCTCCCTCTCCTTCTCCCTCTCCCTTCCTATCTCTGAAATCAATAAAGACATATTAAAAATAAATAAAATAAAGTGTGTATAATTTTTTTCTGATTATAAGGTCTATATACTAAAAATTAAAATGTAAACATGCAGAAGAGAAAGTGAAAGTCTTTCACACAGGAGGAATGATGTGTTTTAAATAGTCTCCGTACTGATCAGAGAAATGCAAATTAAAACAACAATATATCGTATTCTTTATCCATTAGATTGACTAAAACAGAAGTTAGACAATATTAACTACTAGAGAATTTGGGGACGACGGATATTATTGTATGGCTGGGAGGGGTATAAGTTGAGGGGAACTCAGCACATCTAGTGTAAGTGAGCACGCACAGTGATTCCACTGCTCAGGTGTGCCTAGTGGAACCCTCACACAGAAGCAGAAGGAAAGGTGAACACAGACATGTTTGTGAGAGTACAAATTTGGAGCTGTTGTAAATATCCAGTAACAGTGAGATGACAAAGTTGAGTGGTCATAGGATGAGGTTATGTAAAAAGTTAACCGAAAGTGTTTGAAAAGGCACGAGAGCATTTTTGGTTGTCAAATGATGAGGGCAGGGGATTGGGTGCCACTAGCACTTGGTGATAGAGGGTGCCAGGAATGCTTAACATCTTACAAAGAATGGTGCAGCTCTGAACAATCAAGAATTGTCCAGCTCAGAATGCCAATTGCACCCCCACTGAGAAATACTGAGGGTGTTGTATACACACACAAATCCAAAGTTGATAGATCCTAAAACATACTGTTAAGTTAGAGGAATTAGTAGCAGGTACAGAATGATATCACTTAGCTGTATAAAATCACCCCTTCTCTCCCAAAACTATACAACACATATATGTGTACATATAAAGATATGCAAACACATAAAATAAAAGTACATACCCAACTCATAAGTATGGTTTCCTTTATGGAAGGAACCGGGATTGAGGGTGCTATTAAAGTAGACTTTAGCTTGATCAAAGTTTCCTAATTTAGCTTGTTCTAATAAAATAATAAAATAATAAAACGGCCCTGGCCAGGTAGTTCAGTTGGTTGGAGTGCTGTCCCCACGTGTCTAGGTTGTGGGTTCGATCTCTGGTCAGGGC